TGTTGGAAACAAAACGAAGGTTCTTTGCAGAAGCAAGTGCTCTTAACTGTGGTGATGCCCCACTGGTCCCTAAATAAAAATTTAAGGACCTGTCTGTTCACTTTCTTTTCCACTTTGTGTCTTTCTTAACCATGGGGTTGTCTCAGTAATGTTTATAAGCAGAATGACACAGTGTATAAGCTTTCTGGATTGTCTTTCTCCCTACCCCCCTCTGCCAAATTCTCTAAAGATTCATCCAAGACCAGTTGGTTTAATTTTTGAGCAGCATTTCACAGTATGAACACATTGTGGTTTAACCACACACCCACTAGAGGGTTTCCAGTTTTTGGCTATTACGAACTACTAATTATAAATATTTTTTAATAAGATTGTTTTTGTGGGTATATAGGCTTGTCTTTTCATTGGGATAAATCCCCAAGAAGGTAATTTCTGGGTCACTTGGTAGTTACATTAATTTAAAAAATTGTTATTTCCTTTTGAAGATGATATTTTATATTCTTACCAGCAAGGCACAGGAGACTCAGCCGCTCTGATCTTGTAAGCACATGCCATTGTCACTAGGGTGTCTTTGGTTGTTTCTTAGTGACAGCTCTCCATGGTTGAAGTGTACATTTTCCCAATGGACAGTGATGCTGAATACCATTTCATGTAATTATGTGCTCTGTGTATCTCATCCCTAGTAACGTGTCTCTTAATGCCCTTTGTCCATATTCTAACTGAGTTAGTTAGTTTCAATGCTGGGCTTTGAAACTTTTAGACAATATAGATATTAATCCTTTGTTGGATATATAGTTTACAAATACTTTTTTTGTTTACAAATACTTTATCAGAGTCAACAGATCTCTTTTTATATTATTAATGGGATCTTTTTTTTTTCTAGCAAGTGCTTTTAATTCTGATGCAGCCTAATTTGTCTATCTTTTTATATGTGGATTATGTTTTTAGTTTCATGTTTAAGGAAATTTACATGGAAGCATGCACTCCTGCATGTTGCTGCTGTCTCTGATTCTGAGGATTCTTTTCTTGATTTCTTCCCAAAAAGTTGGATAGTTTTATTCTGAGTCTATGATCCATTACTTTGCGAGCTTTGTGCAATTCCACAGAGTTAACTTTTGTATAAATGTGAGGTTTAGATGGCCATTCATTTCTTTCTCATATGGGTATCCAATTGCTTCAGCACCATTTATTGAAACGGCTGTCCTTTCCCTGTTGAATTACTTTTGCAGTTGGTCAAAAATCACTTGGTATATTTGTGGAAGTTTATCGGAGCAATCTCTGTTCTGTTCAATTGATTTATGTGTTCATATCTTAGCCAATATCACACATGCTTGATTATTGTAGAAAATAATGCCTTAAAATAGGGTAATTTCTATTACTTTTCAAAATTGTTTTACTTACTCTAGTTCTTTTGCCTTTACATATAAATAAAAATCCACATCTGTAACTACAGAAGTTATTCTGGAATTTTGATAAGTCACTCTAGATCTATATATTAATTTGCAGTGAATTGCATTTTACTATGCTGAGTTATAGCTCTTTGTTTATAACTTTTCAGTTTTGTACACTATTTGTTAATTTTATAACTGCTTCCTTACTTGAGCTGTTGGAAGTGGTATTGTTTTGGTTTCGGTGTTCACCAGTCCATTGACAATATACAGAAGTACAAGTCAGCGCTCTATACTTGCGTGCTCCACAAAGATGGGTTATCAGTTCTGAACACGTACCGGTGATGACTTTTGCTTGTCATAACAACTATTTCCACTCCATTTACAGCACACTAGGTGTCATAAGTTGTCTTAAGAAGACTTCAGGAGGCTGTGAATAAAATGGACGTTTACCATCATCTTATTTGAGAATCTTGAGCATTTGTACCCATTTTAATCTGCGAGAAGTCAAAGCGCCAGTCCCCCATGGATGTCGACAGGCCACTGGGGCAAGTTTATCTTCTTCCCTGTGATCCTGATTAATTTTCTCAGCTATGTTTAGGAGTTCCTTCTCCCCACACAGCTGCCTTTCTTCCCCCCTTGCTCACTGTCTTTCCACTGCTTATCTTTTTCCAGAGTGTCTTATTTCCCTGAATTTTTTTTTATCCAATGATATTATCTGCAAATGGGAATCATTTTATTTTCCCCATCCCATCTGTGACGATTTTATTCTCTTTTCATGCCCTATTTGACTGGCTATACCTTTCATCTTTATCCTAAGAGCATCATCAAGAAGAGAGTGAGGAGACAAATTTGCTGTGCTTGCCTTCTTAAGGGGGAAAATGTGCAGCAGTTTACTATTGAGTATAGTACAATCTTAGCAGGAGATTTTATATAGATGTCTTTATTGAGCTTGGAAATTTCCCTCTACTCATATTTGTATGAGATTGAAGAAGTCACAATAGGTTTTTTCAAACGATTTTGTTGTACCAGTTGCAATGAGTGATAGGCAGTTTACATTGGTACAACACAACATACAATCAAGCTGTTAATGATGTTCCTTTCTTCTGTTGTTTATTTTAGTGATGCAAAGTCGCTAGGGGATCAAGGGCTCTTGATTTAGCCTCCACTGAAGGCTTAACAGGAAACAGTTCAATTACAATGGTAATACAAGGGAGAGGAAGGATCATATCTCAACCAGTAAGCATAGAACCTGGTATCTGGCTTATACCTCTTCTGACAGCTACCATGAAGTGCTATGAAAACTACTTGATTCTCTTCTGAGGGTATTTTCCATGGACTTAAGGCCCTTCTCTATTAGGTCTAGGTTCTTAAAAGGTCTGCTCTTCCTGATACTGCCACCCTGAGAACATGCCATATATATATATCTCTTTGTGGGACTCAAATCATATACAAGCTATATATTAATATGTTATCTTTTCACATCTATCTAATATAATGGATTATGCTAAATGGCTTTCAAATATTAGATCAGCCTTACAGCCTTGGAAACCTTCTTATAGTTTGTGATTTCTTTTATATATTGTTGGATTATATTGTTAATGATTTGTTGAAGACTTTTGTATCTCTACTATGAGAAATATTGGTATAAAGTTATTTTTTTTATGTTTGTTTGTATTATCTTGTCTTGTTTTGGTTATAGTATTGCTGTCTTATGAAATGAATTGAGAAGTCTGCTGTTTTCATATAAAAGCTGGAATAGAACTGACATTAATTCTTCTCAAAATACGTCATAGAATTCTCCAGTGCAAATATGTGGTCTTGAAGATTTCATTTGTAAGTTTAGCAATCATGCATTTGACTTTTTTTATAGTTATGGGGCTAAGTGATTTATTTCATATTGTATGAGTTACAATTGATTGTTTTTCTGAGGAGTTGACCTACATTCATCCATCCGTCTGTCTGTTTATCTATCTCTATCTATCTATCTATCTATCTATCTATCTATCTATCTATCTATCTATCCATCCATGGTTTTTGGTATTATAGTGTTAACTTTTTTTTTTAAGTCCACAGGATATGTGGTGTCTTCTTTTGCATGCTTGATAATGCCAATTTTCTGAGTGTGGAAGTATATTTGGTCTGGTTTCAATATGTGTGGATTTTCAAACAAATTTCACATTGGTGTATTCTTGTCATAACATTTCAATAATCCATACGAAGAGTGGTGTCTTCTTCCTGTCCTTTCTACATGTTTCTCTTCTCTTACTTCTGGATCCATAATGCTGAATGTTTGTACTTTAAAGTCTACTTCTAGGTTGGAGGCTCTGACTAGCATAGGAATGCCTGGTTCATGTTTTTCCCAGATTCTTTAAAGATCATGTGGAACAATTGGTAGTCAGGAAGGACGTCAGTATGAGGTAGAAGAAAGAGAGGCCATCTTTGTCTTAGAGGTGACAGATAACATAAAACAACACCAATTTTGGTTTTTGATATCATGTTTGCTATTTAAAGGACAGCTAGTTCCAGGTGCTACAGACATGTGCTGCTCCACAAACATTAGCAAGAACTTTCTCTGTAGTTTTCTCTTTATACATCTTAGCTTTGGCATCCATTCCCTTATAAACAGAGAATTTTTTTTTCCTTATAGCTATATCAGACTATATTCTCCAATGCAAAAATCACTTTAGGATTCCTTAAAACCTACAAATAGTCTGATTTAAAGGATGGGTAGTGATCTCACTACATCTGCATTGTATGTAGGCTCTTCAATACGCAGTGTGCCCACATTTGCCCAAGGCTGCTCCCTAAGGTCAACCTAGAGTGGCTTTACTTGGCAGCAGTTAGATACAGGAGTCTAGCAGCATTACCTCTGGAGAATATCTGCCAGAAAGAATGTGTCATTTCCCTGTTCACAACCCCATTTAACTGCCAATTTAAGCTTTGGTTCTGTTAATGCTTTCTGTATATTTCTACCCATCACTTTTTGGAAGTCATGCAGGACTGTGGCTTTGAGGGTACCCACCAGAGTTCCTGGCTGCCCTGGTTCCTGGACTTTAAGTAGGGCAGGTTGGCATGGTTGTTATTTGAACAACACAGCAGTCTCCTTTTGGCATTTTCTTGTATCTATCTCCCAGCTCCACATCAAGGCCCTTCTTTCCCGGTGTTTACATAGACCTCTGATCTAATTGGTAGTTTCACACTGTCAGTAGAATAAGGAGAGAGTAAATATATAATCTAAAAAAAAGTGCCTATGTTATATTTCTGGTCCAGTATTCTGTTTTCTGCGAAGTTTGGTGCTTTAAAGACAATTTATTAACAGTTTCTGTTCTGCCAATACCTCTGCTCTGAAACAACGAGCACAAAGCTTGCTACCTGCTTAAGGACAGAAATGAAAGGGTGAAATAAAAGGAGAAAAGAAAAAAAAAAGGAAATAGAAACATGTTAACATCTAAAAATATTCTGCCACAATTGAGAGACGAGAATTGAATTCCTTAGAGAGGTTCCATTGGAGGAAAGGAATTGTTCTTGCAAACAGGGTTTATGAAGCTGCAGACGCTGTGTCAGACTGAGGTCTATAGAATGCTCTGATGTCATCATTGAGAATCCTCCAGTAGGCCCCGTGACCTTTGACCCTTAACAGCCATGCAGCGTGGTGAACACTGGGCAGGGCTGCTGTTTGATTAAATAATCTGAGTTCTTCAGCCAGTTAAGAGACTTAACTCCTTTTAATTTGTGTTGAATTATCTCAACGGATTTCCTGAAGGCCAAAAAGGGTCAGCCAACCTGCAGGGAAAAGGTGACTTTGGACTTTTAAGTATCCTCGAAGGGACTATTCTATCTGACACCATGAAACGGCGACAAAAGAGGAAACATCTGGAAATTGAAGAGTCAAAGGAAGCTGGTGAGAATTCAGGAGGTAGATGGTGGGCAGCGTGGCTTGGGGCACGAGGGATGCCGGGAAGCTTGGGCTTCCGCTAGGAAGGGGTGACTGGGGAGGATTCAGATGAAGCAGAAGAGGCAGAGATCTCCTATCAGCGGATGCTGCCGGATCTATCTCAGGGGTTTTCGTGGTGCGAGACAGTGCACAGAGTTCCAATGCCCACGACAGAAAAACAGTCAGTTGTGTTGTTTTATGAACTTCCTTTCTGGTCACTGGCATTTCCCGGGCACTGGCATTTGGAACCAGGGACTCCAGGCTTGCTGAGGTCCCAGCTATATGACTCAGGTGCAGATTTTCTGTGATCCCTTTCTGTGTGCGTATCTTGCATTCATTTTGTTTTCCCCCTAGGAATGATGGGTTGGAGCTGTGATGAGGATTGATAAAAAAGAGAGTTTCACTGAGTCTTTTAGGAAAGAGTAAAAAGTAGCCCAACGAGTTAAAGGGCCTTGTTGAGGAATATTTGAGAAATAAAATGCTTAGTCAAAAGGTTAAGAGTTTGTCAGGGTGCTTGTTATATTGAAATCATGAAAATTTTATTCCTTGAATAGAAAGAATTTTTAAGTGGTCCATTAGAGTTTGTGGATGTACAGGTTTAAACTTTCCAGAGGAAATGGAAAGGAAGGGAAGGGCCTCATAAGAGATCAAGGTTATATCAGACAGGGTGAAACTCACTAGGACCCTAAGAAAAGCAGAAGTCGCTGATAGTTGCTGGTTTATATCCTAGGATGCATGATAACGTCAATTACTAAATGTAAAAACAAACAAACAAACAAACAAATAAACACCATGTGGGCTGGAGAGATGGCTCAGTGGTTTAGAGGATTTATTGATCTTATAAGAGGACCTGGTTTCCATTCCCAGAACCCACATGGTAGCTCACAACCATTGATAACTCAAGTTTCAGGGAATCAGATGCCCTTTTTAAAACCACTTTGGGCACCAGGAATTTACACGGTAGACATATATAAATGCAGGCAAAACATTCAAACACATAAAATAAAAATGAATAGATTAACAAATTTTAAAAAGAAGCAGCTTGCTATGAAAGGCTAGTCACATGTAGGAATGGAGCAGAATGGAACCCCACCAAGAGGCTTGGAGGGAAGATTTTGCCTGCAGTAGAGCCCAGCAACTTCCATGAGCTCTAGGGCCTGAAGACCATGGGCTGAGCCCATAAACAGTGGCTCAAAGCACTGTCAAATTCTCACTGTAATCCACTGGAAAATAAGGGCAATGGGTTTAACTCTACCATTTACCTTCATATTTTAGAAAGTTTTGTCTAGGTATTCTTATTGGGGGAAACAATAGATGTAAGGGTGAGAAGAGTGTCACCAACTGTAAAGGATGTAAGCTACAGTTTCTGTATCTTTACCTAGACCTGGCTAACGGTGTATGTGATAATATATACAGAGCTCTCACAAGGGGCTGCTATATGAGAGCCACACATGTCCCATATGTGCCCTGATGCAGAAAGATGTCCCATACCTCTGAACTCTGAGAACAAATGGCTATACAAACATACCATTCCTTTACCATGTGCACACATAGTCCATGTGTGATATGGTTTTCTCTACCATGTATGTGTGTGCGAGTGTGTTTCCTAAATATCCTATAAAGACTAGAGTATCCATTAGGGCCAGATTCCAAGACGTGTTTTTATTGTAATAGTTTTGTGTCAGACACCAGTAAATATTTATTGGATACGTAAGTGAAGTACAAACATGACCAAACACCATATCTTTGTGCCTTTCATACCTTCCTCAGGAATTTCAAAGTCACAAGAGGATATCGCTCAGCCTGAATCCACTGGAGTGGCCAAAGCCCAGAGCCCAGGGGTAGGGGAGGTCTCCTCTGCCTCCGAATACTTCTCCTGTGTTTCTTCTCCACACAAGTTCATCCATCGTAGTAAGGGTGCGAGGCTCCTTGGGTGTGACACGCTTTGGGTATGGGGCTTCTTGGGTGAAACTCTTGGGGTATGGGGCTCAGGATACAGTGAAGAAGGCATATAGATTCTAGGATAAGGCTGAGAGGAAGCCCAGGGAAGTTGGGGGTGGTCAGGGTTCTGAAGGTTCATCAGGTTCATCAGGCGCTTAGATGAAATTCAGAGCTACCAAGGGAGCTGCAATTTGGTCTGGGAGATCCTGATCCATGATGCCATCATGGTGAGAAGTCATGAAACAGTGGCTAGAAGGGTCTGGCTTGGGACAGCAGGCCAAGGGACCAGAGAAGCAACTTTAGAGGAGTTATGTGGCTTCTGCCTTTGGATTTGTCTTCAGTGTTCTGCATAGTTCTTCAGCATAGACATCACTTTAGAGGACACAGACATAGTTTACCCAGCACAGACTCATAGACTTTACACAGAGCCATACCCCACACAGATACAAACATTCTCAGTTCATACACATTATGAAAATGCACAACCCATGATGGTATTCTCAGACACCATAGCCCATGCTGTACAAAAACCACACCGATGAGGTCACAGGAGCCCATCTTCATGTTATACAGAATCTACCTCCATTTCATCCCGTCTTTACTCCTCACTATCATACTCCACACTCTTAAGTACACACTACCTGCGGATATCCTTATATATAAAAGGCTGCAGCGTGTATAGCACCTTATAAGGCAAATACCAAGCTCATCATTCAATCATATCACCCCAAGGTATCTTTTCCTGTGTCACACTGATGTCACTCATGGTCCCTAAGCTTTCTCTCTGCAGATGCTCTTATATTTCTAATTTCAATTCCCAGGAACCCGGAAATTGCTACAAGACAGTTCCAAGCCTAGATCATCACTAGACCAGGTCCCAGAAGGAAAGGCGACTACTGCCCCCTCACAACAGGCCTCCTCGTCCTGTCCATCGTATAAGACTTGTGTGTCCTCTCTGTGTATAAACAAGGAGGAGAGGGGGATGAAAATATACTACATGCAGGTACAAATGAAAAAAGGTGTGGCCATCTCCTGGGACACAAAGGAAACCTCAGAGTCCCTAGAAAAGCAGCCAAGGATGGAAGAAGCTACCCTTCCTGAGGGTGTATGGGTAGGTACTCCACCCTCTGAAGTGTCCACCAGAAACCTCCTGTCGGACAGTGAACCCATTGGGGAAGAGAAAGAACATGAGGAAAAACCAGAGTCAGACAGCCCACCAGGGTCTCCCATGGTTGAAGAGAGACCCAGGGCCAAGACACCTGACTGGCTGGTGACCATGGAGAATGGCTTCAGGTGCATGGCCTGCTGCAGGGTCTTCGCCACCATGGAGAGTCTCCAAGAGCACGTGCAGTATGGGATCAGGGAAGGCTTCAGCTGCCATGTGTTCCATCTCACCATGGCTCAGCTGATTGGCAATGTGGAATCAGAGAGCACCCAGGAGGAGGAAGAGGATCACAATGAGGAAAAAGAAAAACCCGTGGAAAAGAAGGCCGAGGAACAGCAGCCCACAGAGGAAGATGTTGGTGTGAAGAAACCTTGGAGCCAATGTCCAGGCTGTGTGTTTGATTCTCCAAAGGACAGAAGTGAGCACGGGTTGGGTTTGCTGAGCAATCTGTCCCTCCAGTGTAGGCTTGCACCTCCATCAGGAAGAGAGGGGGGTTTTGTCAGCTCTGGGAATGATGGAAGGGGGATTAACCAGGCCCTCTGCTTCTTGCTCAGGAATCTTACACGACTGTAAATTGGGATTTGTCCCGAGCTTTCCAGTTCCTGCAGGAAGTTCGGATCATTTCTAAGGGTCAAAAGAGCACCTTTCCTCATTAAGAAGTGTCATTATTTTGGTTTCCACACAGCCACTGAGATTCCTGAGTCAGAAGAACCTGCAAGATGGGGTGGCCCTTTCTTGGGAGAGGTAAGGCCACAGGAAGAGAAAGCTTATAGACTAGGAAGCGTACAGAACAGAGAGCAGGGCTGTGCTGAGCTGTTTCGAGGCACACTCAGTTCTAGGGAAATTGACCTGTATTTATTTACGTGAGAAACTGCAGAGCTTTGACTGGGAACTTTTTTTTTTTCTATGTGATTGTCCTCTGCTTTAAGAGGAAGTGCTGTTGTCCCTCTAAGCAGATAGCTCAGCACAATCTCAGGGACCAGGGATGGCCTGAAGAGAGGATGTGGACCCAGCAGGATCAGAAGTTTGGCTCTGAAAGTGTTCAGTCTGAGTTGAGAGCTTAGTGGCCCATGGTCATAAGGTGGTAGGAAAGATGGAACTGTAGAGAGGGGAAAGGGAGCCACATGGAAGTGAGGTCTCAGGAAAGCTGGGAATATTCTAGAACGCTTATGTTGTTGCAGTGGATCTGGAAATGAACTCACTGTGGTGAGTTCATAACTGTGGAATTAAGTAACAGTAAAGGATAACTGACAAGCAGCAGTCACAGTGTTTCTCACATCTTCCTGTTCTACCATATTTTCTCAATCTCAGGAAGAAGAAAGGACCATCGAGACAACAGTGGCAGCAGACAGAATGCCAGTAGTGTAAAGGAAGAGGAAAAGAACAACACTCCGTCGAACACATAAACATCCTATGCAATAAAGCTTGTTTTCCAAACTGTGCCTGGGTACTTTCTTGGCAAAATACTCTAACTGCCCACCTCCCCACCTCTAGACCTTGGTCAAGGAGGTTGCAATCCAGCATTAATACGTGTCTGCTCTAGACTGTGGGGCCCCCAGACTGAGGCTACAACTCTGTACTTTCTAAATCTTCCACTTAGCACCCTGTTTCATCCATATGAGTTAAAAATGTATTTCCCCCCTTATTTTTATTCTTTCTTTATACAGACTTTATACATTCAAAATCTGACCTCACCACCTTTCAGCCCACCACTGCTACCTCCCACCGGAACAATAGAGAGACAGGAGGCACTGAAGACTGATTTTAATGCCAGTTGTGAGATTGTTTACAGTCTTTGAAAGCTGAGGGTCAGCAATATGTCTCAGAATCTGAATAGAGCAAGAACGGAACCTAGAGGACAGGCAGAGTTAGAAATAAATGGTGTGAAGTCTAGAGTTTGTTAGTTCAAATACAACAATACCTAACTCCAAAGTCTTATGAGTTGGTTAAGGCCTGCTCAACAGGAGGGAATTCATGCCTGGCCTTGGGAGGAGTTACATAGGGTCGATGAGTAGGGGTGAAAATTATGTAAGTAAACTACACATTTGAATTTCTCAACAAAATTAAAACGGTGTAATTCAAGCCCATTCTCAGAAACCCACCCAGATGCACTCCACAGTGGCTTGTGATTCTGAGTGCGGCCCTCTCGGCATCCCTTCCTCACTGTGAGGCACAGTTACCAGCCCGAGGCTTTTGGTTGTAAGGCTTTTGTTTGACTATGTTTTTATTGGCAAGTATTTTCAATGTGTGCGACATTTTTGATAATAGACATCAGTGGTGCCACCTTGTAGCTGCAGTAACTTTATTATGTTGTTTCTCTTGCAAAGGGTTTGAAGTCAAAAGGATTTCAGATACAAACGCATTCCATTGTCTCACTGTCTTACATGCATACACACTTAATGTATCAACTTGCACTTGGGCACAGCAATGACCTAGGCACAAGTCCTAGAGAGACTTGGGCTCAACTAGCTTTTGAATAGAGGAGATATATAAAACTCCCATTCAAAACTATTTACCTCCCATTCAAAATCACAGGTTCAAATTAGACCAAAATCCCAACACAGAGAAGAAGTGGATATGAGGTCCCATTCCTACATTTTGTGGGTTATCAGTTTTATTCAAGTATTTTTAGTATGTTAGTTTTAGTGTTATTTTATAACTAATCCTACCAATATACCAATCTTACACTTATTTATAAATTAGTCTCTTATTTTTATTTAGTTAAAAAAATTCATATATTTTGATCGTATTCCTTTTCCTCCTTCGGTTTCTCTCAGAACCTACCCACCTTTATGTTTTTCTTCTCTCTCTTTCTTTTTCTGGCTCTCAAAAAATGGAAGCCCCACAAAAGAACCTTAAAAATGAAAATCAGCAGCTATCAGTTGAGAATAGCTTTTTGGTTAGGAATGGGACCTCATGTCTGCTTTCTCTTCTTTGTGTTGGGATTTTATCTGGTTTGACCCTGTGACTTTGAATGGGAGGTTAATAATTTGTATATTTCCTGTATTGAAAACAAGTTGAGCCCAAGCCGCTCTAGGATTTGTGCCTAGGAGTTCACTGCTGTGCCCAAGGACACACACAATAAATTCACAACTATTGATACAGTGCATTCCCTCTTTTTTCTGCTCTAGTTGTTTTTCTTGTTTTCCATAATGATTTCGTGCTGGTTAGGCTCAGGGTCTGGCACTATTTAGATGTTGTGGCCTTGTTGGAGGAAGTGTGTCACTGTGGGCGTGGGCTTTAAGGCCCTCGTCCTAGCTTCCTGGAAGCCAGTCTTCTCCTAGTGACTTTCAGATGAAGATGTAGAACTCTCAGTTCCTCCTGCATCATGCCTGCCTGCACACTGCCATGCTCTAGCCTTGATGGTAATGGACTGAACCTCTGAATATGTAAGCCAGCCCCAATTAAATGTTGTCCTTATAAGAGTTGGCTTGGTCATGGTGTCTGTTCACAGCAGTAAAACCCTAACTAAAACAAATTGATATATTTCTTTACAACTGTTTTCCAACTCTGGGGTTTAGTGTTTTTATGTTAGTCTTTTCTTTTTTGTTCCCTTTGAGATTTTTTTCCTGTAACATGTTGAAATTTATTATTAATGCAAATTTTTAGTATTGATCACACAGGTAGCAAGTTGGTTGAAATATCCTCCTTGTAAAAGAATGCTATTATATCTGAATAGTCTTAAATATTCAATTGTTTTAAACAAAAATAAATATTAGGTTTACTCAATTCTTTGCATTTGTTTACTTCTCCTTAAGTTTCCTTGCTCTTCTGGTTATGATGGGACCTTTGATTCAATATAAAATTATAATGATCATAAAGATAATAAAGAGATATATATATATATATATATATATATATATATATATATATGTATATATATTTGAGACAGGGTTTCTCTTTATAGCCCGGGCTGTCCTGGAACTCACTCTGTAGACCAGGCTGGCCTCAAACTCAGAAATCCACCTGCCTCTGCCTCCCAAGTGCTGGGATTAAAGGCATGCACCACCACTGCCCAGCAAGATAATATTTTTAAATGAGTACTAATTTTATAAATTTTTGTATCTATCCAGACCGTTTTTTGCTATTTCTTAACATCTGGTTTGAATATCGAACATTCTCACTTCCCTAATACAAGCTGCTTTTCACTCATTGCTGTTTTCTCTCTCCCGTTTTCTTTTATAAAAACAGATTCTTCTCTCATGCAATAATATACGCTGATTACAGTTTCCCCTCTCTCTACTCCTTCCAGCTTCTCCCAACCTCTCATCCCCTCCATTTCTGTCTCTCATTCAAAAAGAACAGGCTTCTAAGAGATAACAACCAGACATGACAAAAATAAAATATAAGATGAAGCAAAAATTATCATACCAAAGTTGGACAAGGCAGCCCAAGAGTCAGAGACTCACTGGTTCTCACAGTCAGGAGTCCTGTATAAGTTAATAGTTATAACATATATGCAGAGGTCTCTTGCAGATCCATGAAGGCCCTGTGCTTGCTGCTTCAGTCTCTGTGAGCTCATATTTGCGTTGCTTAGTTGATCCAAAGGGTTGTCTTCTCCTGGTGTCCTCCGTCCCCTCTGGCTCCTACAATCTTTCTGTCTCCTTTTCCATGGGATTCCCTGAGCTTGGAGGGGAGGGATTTGATGGAGACCTCCGATATAGACTCTCTGTACACAATGTTTGGCTGTGGGTCCCTGCATCTGTTCTCATCTGATACAGGATGAAGCCTCTTTGATGACTGGATAAGGCACTGATCTATGACCACAGCACAATATCATTGGGAATCATTGATTCTACTTTAGACCAGTAGCTTTTGGTTTTACCTAAGTTTCTGGGATATCTAGTCTCTGGGCTCTTGGTTAACCAAGCAATGTCAGTTATAGGTTTCTTCTGGTAGAGAGGTCCTTAAATCAGGGGATTTTTTTAGCTACATGAGCAAGTTCTCCACCATTGCCCTAGCATGTTCTGCAGACAGGGTAGATTGTAGGACAAAGGTTTTGAGGCTGGGTTGGTGTCCATATTTCTTTTTCATAAGCCTGCAGAGTACCTTTCTGCACCAGAAAGATTAGAATGTAGGGGTGAAGGCTCATGTGGGCACCAGATTGACTTTTTCATGTTCAATGAGGGCGTGGATGTTTTCCTTGGCAATGGGGCCCTGCCGTATTTTAGAGAGTAACTTTTTGTCTTAGCAGTAGCCTGGGTTGTTTGGGGATTTCCATAGGACTCCTTGGCCAAGCACTCAATTGAATGCAACCAAGTCCCACCTTTGGAAGCCTCATTGGCCACAAGAGTTGGCTAGTTGAGACTCCATACCCCTCATAACTAGGAGTCCTCATTAGGATCACGTTTATAGATTCCAGGAAGTTTCCACTGTTACTAGGTTTCCACACTGTCTCAAATGTTCCCCCCCCCCATTTCAGTAGTCTCTCCCTGTACTCTCTCTCTCCACCCCATCTTCACCTTCCTGCTACCTGATTTCCACTTCCTACCACCTGCTCCAGACCCAAGCACCCACTCACACATCCACCCACAGTCTTCCCTTAGAATCTAGTCTATTTTTCCCTACCAGGGAGATCCACGAATCTTCCCTACACACCTCCTCTTTACTTATCATCTCTAGGTCTATGAATTGTAACTTGGTTATCATTTATTTAATGGCTAATATCCTGTTATAAGAGAATACACATCTATCTTTCTGGGTCTGGAGTACCTCACTCAGGATGATTTTTTTCCTAGTTCCATTCATTTGCTTGTAAATTTTATGATGCCTTTTTTTTTTTAAACAGCCGAGTAAATGTACCTACCACATTTTCTTTATTTATTCTTTCATTTGGGGATATCTAGGTTGTTCCCAGTTTCTGGCTATTATAAATAAAGGTACAGTGAATATGGCTAAGCAAGTGCTCTTGTGGTAGAACAGAGCGTCCTTTCGGTTTATGCCCAAGAGTGGCATCCTGTAGTTCTTGAGGTAGATCAATTCCCAATTTTCTGAGGAGCTATGATATTTATCAAGTGGTTGTACAAGTTTGCATTCTCACCAGCAATGGAGGAGTGTCCCCCTTGCTCCCCATCCTTACCAGTGTGCGCTGTCACTTTTGTTATTGATCTTAGTCATCTGACAGGTGTAAGATGAAATCTCTATTACATTTGATTTTTATTTCCTCGATGGCTTATTGGACATTTCTTTAAGTGTTTCACTGCTATTTGTGATTGCTCCATTGAGAATTCTTCGTTAAGATCTGATCCCCATTTTTGAATTGGGTTATTTGTTTTTTTGATATTTAATTTCTCTATTTTGGATACTAGCTCTCTATCGGATGTTGAATTGGTAAAACTCTTTTCCCATTTTGTAGGTTTCATTTTTTTCCTATTGATGGTGCCCTTTGCCTTATGGAAGTTTTTCAATTTCATGAGGTCCTATTTATTAATTGCTCAAAT